GCCCCTGAACTCACCCTAATGTTTTCCTATGTGTCCATGTACACATCTTCGTTTACAGTCGTTTACAGGCATTTGAGTTTACAGTCGTTTTTTTTGAATGCAGAAAACTTGCGTTCAGCAGTCGATTTTATCAGCGTTTCAAACTCAAAACGCATGTAAACGTGGCAAATCGTGTTTAGAAGTGTTTGCGTTTTAAATTTTTTTTTTTAAACTCTTCCAGTTTCCGATGCTGTCTAGAGCCTTTTTTTCATCATGAAAAATGCATGCAAAGAGTTTTCAGGGTACTCAGATGGACAAAACACTTAACACAGGATGTTCCTACCAAGCTTGTCACACATTGTAATGACCAATTCACACCTCAGACCTCTCCCACCCATGGAAACAAAAGATATGTTAATGACCATTCACACCTCAAATTCCTCATGAAGACCCCCTGCCAGGTGGCCTTAACCATTAGCCGCCCGGCCAATGGCCGTTTGGCGGCTTCAGATGTGCTCCTCCATATTGGGTGCACGCCATTTGGCGTGCTCCCGCACATGCGCCGTTTGCGCTAGTGCAGAGCGGCGCAGCAGTGCGATCTGTCGGCGGCCGTGCACCTCGGACACGGCCGATGACTGATCCTCCCGTTGCTGGTACCATGTGACCTGCTGTGACCAATCACAGCAGGTCACATGACAGTTGTATACATGGATGGCTTCATTCATGATGCCATCCATTGTATACTAGTGCCTAGCTGTGAATGGTCACAGCTAATCACATGCACATGTCATGTGATTAGCTGTGACCAAATCACAGCTAAGCACAAAAAAAAAAAAAAAAAAAGCTGAATGAATCGATTTCATTCAGGTAAATGCTTGCTTATAGCAAAGTAATTCTTTGCTATAAGCAAATTGTGTAAAAAAAAAAAAGAAATACTGATCACTTCCCCAAAGTAGTACAATGTTACTATGGTAACATTGTACTATTTTGGTCATAGTAAAATATGAAAAGAAATCTTAAAAAAAAATGTAATAAAAAATTAAATATACTATAAAAATAAAAAAAATATATATATTTTTTTTTTTTCATACTGTCACCAGTCAGTGTCCCTGTTCACCGCCATGCCAGTTATATGATGACGCTGTACTGCACTGGTGACAGTATGTAAAAAAAAAATAGTGAAAATAATTTTTTTCATTTTTTCATTTTTGGGAAAAATTATGACAAAAAAATACAACTTCAAAAAACTCGCCATGCCTCTTATGAAGTACGTCGGACTGTCTACTCTACAAAAAGGGGTCATTTGGGGATATCTGTACTATTCTGACATTCTTGGACCTCAAGAAAGTAGATTGGCCGTCAGTACTTCAGGATTGATAAATTTTCAGATCTATACCATAGTTTGTGAACTCTATAACTTTCCTACAAACTAAAAAATACATCCTAATTTGGGTTATTTTCACCAAAGACATGTAGCAGAATACATCTCGGCCTAAATTTATGAAGAACAATTATTTATTTGTAAACTTTTATAACAGAAACAAAGAAAAATGTGTTTTTTTTTTCAAAATTTTTGGTCTTTTTTTGTTAATTTAGCAAAAAATAAAAACCCCAGCGGTGATTAAATACCACCAAAAGAAAGCTCTAGTTGTGTGAAAAAAATGATAAAATTTTAGTTTGGGTACAGTGTTGTATGACCGTGCAATTGTCATTCAAAGTGTGAGAGCGCTGAAACCTGAAAAATGGCCTGGGCAGGAAGGTGTAAAATTGCACGGTATTGAAACGGTTAATGACTCACTCCACCAGACACCTTCCCACCCTTGGAAACAAAAGAAATGTTAATGAGCAACTCACACCTAAGCTATTCTCAACACATACTGCTGTCTCTGCTTCTACTCTCTGTATTTCTCTGAAACAGTCTGAAATAGTTAATAATTTAGCAATTATCAGTGTATTCTGGGCATTTGGGAGGTTCTCCTGTGGTTATCTGTAAAAAAGGCTTCTAAATGCAAACGCACATAACGCATTATGCAAACGCGGCTTAACAGACATTTTTTAACCTACGTTTTCCAGCAGTCAGTTTCCATCGTTCAGAAGTGTCCTGTGTACATGGGGCCTAAATGTAATTGTCTTCATAACCCTGAAATCCTGAGCTGAAATCCAGTGAAAAATCTTTGCTATCCTAGTTAATAAGCTGATCTTTGGTTTATCATCTGTTCTGTGTATAATTCTTATTCCTTCATTTATGTATCACCCCCATTGGTCACACCCAGCTGAAAGTACCTCACTTGTTTTCCTTTTCTGTGTATGCTGCTTTGTTACTTTTATTGTAATCTGATAACAGGACCGAAACCAGCTGCTTATGTAAATTCAGGTCAGAAAACAGAGTGACTCAGATTGTTGACATAAGGAAGGTCATTCATTGTTTTGTAATACATATTCTTCAGTGATTACAGGAATGTGGCCTCATCTTGTCTATTAGTGACAGCTCAGGCCTTGCCACTATAATGTATAAAGTAAAAACAGTTCCACCTTGGCTTTAGTTCATAAGTACCAATTTTATTAAAACACACCTTTCCCCCCTTCCTCGAAAAATCACATCAGCATAGAGTTCTGCTTTTTGGTATGAAATCTTTTAACATTCATTAGTTAATTACAGTTTTTCCATTTCCTGATTGAGTGAGGCACTGGGGATGTAGCAAGGGCCTTACAGATGCACCCTGGGAAGACTTCATCCCCAGTGTCTTCCCCCTCACGGTCACATGGTCTAGGAGGCATAAGAAGTAATAGGAGATGGATTCTTCTGCCATTAGTGAAATTTGGCCACCAAGAGAAGAGTGGAGAGGAAAAGAAAAATAAGGCATGCGAAGAATAAAATGCCTGCAGTTATCTCTAAGTATTTGTTTGTAGATTGTCATTACTACATATTTCTGGTTCCAAAGGAGCTTTATTGAGGTATCAAATGCAAACGTAGAGAGAGAACATTCATTTTAACGATCAAGAAAAAGTATCCGTGTAGAAGAACGAAGGTATAAACCCATGCAGGGGCCATTAGCATAACAGTAGTATATAGTTGGTATTAGTGGTGCACAGAAATGAAAATTCTGGTATCAAAACTGAAAATTCAGGATACACTTGGCCGAAAACCAAAACGGACAATTTTAAAATTTTTAAAAAACATTAATTCATGTGGCTGCCAATTTTGCATTGAAGACACTAGAGGACATTTTTGATATAGAGTCTATAGAATGAGACTTTGCATCAAAGTCTAAGACATGATTTTGTATTGAGGTCGCTAGGGTGAGTTTTGCATGAACGTCTATGAGACAGGATTTGGCATTGAAGTCACTAGGGGGCTTTTTTGCATTGAAGTCAATGTGGATGTAACTTTGCATGAAAGTCTATATGAGACGCAATTTTATATTGAGGTCATTAGGGGGCGTTTTTGCATGGAAGTCTATGAGTCGTGACTTTGCATGTATTTTCACCTTTTTTCCTATTGGCAAAATGCCGATAAAACTTTGCTTGTACAATATGTTTCGGCTGCTGAAATATCAGTGCAGCCCTAGTTGGTATGTCTTCATACAAGGGCATATGTAGTAGCGATATTATGATATAGTTTAGCATATAGATCGTAAGAAGGCAAATCCGTGCAACTCACTGAAGGTCGTGCAACCTAGTCCGATAGAAATAAAAAGGATCCCCAAATCACTTATATATATAAAAAATGGTATCTATTCAAAAAAATGAACAAGTCAGTTTAAGTGCAAGAGCTATCAGGAGTGCAATGACCGGGTGAACTTGCAAAGAAAGAAAAATACAACCAAAAGGATGGAGGTAGTGCGGGGAAAAACCCCTCGTCAGAGTGGAGAAAAGAAGAGTCAGAGGAAGAAGAACAAAGATAAAAGACGGGGTAGAAGGGAAAGGGTAGGAGAGTCTCGCCACAGGGGAACCACAGCTACTGTATGTTCCCATCCCATGAGGAGCTGGAAAAAGGGGGCCATATAGACTTCGATTAAAGCTGGAGTAAAGCAGGAGATCGGTTGATAGTCTAACCACAGCTGTCAGAACGAAAGTAGCCTGTCGTGTTTGTCCTCCAACACGGTCATCAATTTTTTCGATAACAAAGAAACCTTGAATTCTGGATTTGACGTCTTCAATACTAAACATTTCTAATGATGCCTTTGTTTTATCTTTAAGATAAGAGTGAAGTTCCTGTTTAATGGGTGAATATGTGGATGTCAGCAGTGAGTATGCCTTGAGGTGACCATATACTGTAGGCTGCCAAGCAGGTACAATCTGACTGCACATTAGTACCTGTGAAGCTTGCCAGCACCAAAAAGGGGAACATTTGCTGCTGCTTATCCCAGGGAGGATCAGCATTGATTTGACATATTTCCTAAACTGCCTGATTGTTCTTTCCCCAGACATCTACTATGTGCTGGGGTCAGGAGCTTTCCTTTGTCCCAGATTGCCGTATCATGTCTGTGGACACATTAACCGCTTGCCCGCTGCCCTATAGCAGAAATACTGCTGCTACAGGGTGACAAGGCTGCGCAAAATCATGTATGTATATATACGTGATTTTGCATTTCCGGGTAGGGGACGCGCCCTATCAGCGCCACCATTGGCGACTTCAGCTGTCGCTCACCGGGTCCCGGCTGGAGATTCCATGCCAGCACCCAGCAATCGCCAATTATCACTGACGGGGGGAGAGGGTTATATGTAAACAATACAGATCTCTCTCCCTGTAATCTCCAGCACACTGCTTTGTATTGCTCTGCATAGCAGAGGGTGAATCTAGAAATCTGTGTACAAATTATGATTATGAAAAATGTGGCTGAGCATGCAATTATGAGTTGAAATGTCTTCGGAAATTTTAATAACATCTAGGTTTGCATTTTCACTGGAAAATCTTATGGTTTTCTTTTAGACTGTAAGCTTTTACAACTTGATTTAGCAGATAAAAAAACATTTTCACAGAAATGATTAGAAAGTAATATGGCATTCTTGTTTTGCAGGTGGCACTTTAGCTGAATACATCCAAAAACGCTGTAATTCCCTTCTAGATGAAGACACTATCCTGCACTTCTTCGTCCAGATCCTCCTTGCTCTCCATCATGTGCACAATAAGCTCATTCTTCATCGGGACCTGAAAACCCAGAACATCCTGCTGGATAAACATCAGATGATTGTCAAGATAGGAGATTTTGGCATTTCAAAAATTCTCAGTAGCAAGAGCAAGGCTTATACAGTGAGTACACAGTGAGAAGACAATAATCCAGAGTCAATGATAAGCATACTAATATGTATGGAATAGCTCCATGGTGTAAAAGTAGGCAATGTTATCTGAATGACGGATTTCCATGAATGAACACACATGCATTTTTTTAGATGCATTTTTTAGAAAAGCTGCTCAGACTGGACAACTATCCTTATCCTTGGTGTATCATATTTTTTGTATTAGAATATCTTAAGGATTTATTTATTTTTTTAATAGAGCAGGAAAGGATTGTCTCATTTGTTTTTTACTTTCTGTGAGCATATTGGGGAGATTCTTCTTCTATGTTTGCTTTGGTTGATCCATTGATGGAAAACCCAGAATTACACAGTTCTCATAACCTGTCACCTTGTCACTTCCTCGGAGCTGCACCAAGGACAAAAAAAAGTTATCTTCCGTATGTAAACTACTAATCCTATCAGTCTCAATGTAATGGGGATAAAAAAAAAAATAGATATGTTATTGGTCCTGCTTGAGAGGCAACAATGGCTGCCTTTCGTGCATACAATATAGTGGATAGAGGAGGAGTAAATGTAGTCATCCAGAGCAGCGGTGCACAGTCTTTTTTTTAGTCATAGCACCCTTTCAAAGTCTACAAAATCCTGGAGGAACCCCAGACTAAAATGTATAAAATGTAAATGATAATTATCAGTGGGAAACCTTAGCCTAGGACTGCAATGGGCAAACTACAGCCCGCGGGCCATATACGGCCCGGCGGACCTTTTAATCCGGCCCGCGGAGCGTGGCAAACATCGGCTGTCAGAATGTGTGTAGGCGGGGCAGCGTGAGGAACATGAGGGGAGCTAGGCTCCTCTCACAGTCCGCCCTGAAGACCGGAACGGCGCGGGAACACGGCGAGAGGAACACGCAGAGCAAAGGTAAGTGAATTGACACAGGGGGAACTTGGCTTACTACTTGGGGGGGAATAGTACTGTGGGGGATGAAATACTATATGAGGGATGAATTAATATGGGGGATGAATTAATATGGGGAATGAATTACTATAGGGGGGATGAATTACTATATGCGGGATGAATTACTATGGGGGATGAATTACTATATGGGGGATGAATTACTATGGGGGATGAATTACTATGGGGGATGAATTACTATACGGGGGATGAATTACTATGGGGGGGATGAATTACTATGGGGGATGAATTACTATATGGGGGATGAATTACTATGGGGGATGAATTACTATATGGGGAATGAATTACTATGGGGGATGAATTACTATGGGGGATGAATTACTATATGGGGGATGAATTACTATGGGGGATGAATTACTATATGGGGGATGAATTACTATGGGGGATGAATTACTATATGGGGGATTAATTACTATGCTTACTATGGGGGAATATTACTATACTTACTATGGATGACACATACACATCATTCATCTACTCTTGGTCCGGCCCCGGGTCCAATATATGAACCCATTGCGGCCCTCAAGTCAAAAAGTTTGCCCACCCCCCTGGCCTAGGACAATGCACAGAGCCAGACAGGTGAGATTAACTTCACATCGGAAGCATCCTCTCATCAAATCAGAGCCCACCTTCACATCAGATGTCCCCTCATTACATCAGAGTCTCCCTCACTTCATGTCAGATGTCCCCCCCATCATGTTAGAGGGTCTCATATCTCATCAGAGCCCTCTTCACATCAAAGGTCTACCATCACTTTAGTTTCCCCATTATGTCTGGGGGCCCCTCTATACATCAACAGCTCCCTATAAGTGAGCCCCCTCCATCACATCAGAACCTCCCTTTCATAGCATAGATCCCCTCCACCCCATCACTATAGAGTCCTCCATTACATCGAGCCCCCCTCATCACAAAAAGCCTTCTGGTCACGCAGAGTCCCCCCAATCACATAGTCCGCTGCTCACATCAGAGCCCTACCTTTTGGCTCCAGCAGTATGGCAGAGGGAGGGAGGTGGGGGGGAGTGGAGGAGGTTAACTTCCGCCTTCTGATTGCTGAAGGTGGTCCTGCTTGCCTCCTGTCCTGCATCAGAGTAATGTATTGCCATAGTGCGGGTGAGCCAGCAGCCATCACTGTAGCAATGAATGATGCCATGCGTCCTGGCCCTAGAGTGTCATTGGATCTTGCGGTGCCAGCCGCCGGCCCAGACACACCATGATAAATCGTGATGCTGATTGAGGAAAGTCCGTGTCCTGTGCCCGTGGCACCCTGGGAAAACCCAGATGGCACCATGGTTGAGAAACACTGATCCAGAGACAGGTAGTGTGTTAGTTAAAGGATTACCAGGTGAAAATAAAGGAAGAAAGCCTAAAAAATAAAAATAAAAACTCAAAACATCTAAGGACTGGGACTGGTAAGCTGAAGTATAACATATATTTTTTTTGGGGGGGTTAGATATGCTTTAATTCCTAAAGGGTTGCCATGCATTCTGTTTAGCAGTGAGCAAAGCTGTTTTTGTGGTAACTTGATATTTTTAGCAAAATAACTGTATGCTTTTGTAGCAGCTTCACATGTTGTTCAGCATATTATTTCCTTTTAAACACAATTTTTCTACATATTTCATTGGTGACTTACATAGGTTGTCTAACGTTATTATCCATTCCTGGGATTCCCCTTAGTCTCACCTTATTCTGCAGAAACTAAACACTACAGTTTAATTTGTTCACTGCTTGCAAACTGAGAACATCATTATTATATTAACACTAAATATAATATAATGTATCTTTTGTATGTATGTATTTATACCAGCCATTCCCATTAACACATACTAGAATAAGAAACCCAAGAAGAGTGTGAAATGTACTAAAGTGTGTAAATTGACTACTAGAAAATTATACTCACTAGTTAGATTTTAGTATACTGTTACTATTTAAACTGGCATTAAGGTGAGGTATATACATCAGCTCACCAAGGTCCACTGATTACATTTATAGTGGCACTATAGGAAACCGCAAAAATGACATACAGTGCTGTGAAAAAGTATTTGCCCCCTAGCTGATTTTTTATGCTTTTGCATATTTGCGACTCTTAAATGAGTCAGGTCATCAAACAAGTTTTAATATTACACAAAGAGTAAATACAAAATGTAGTTTTTGAATAATGATTACATTTATTAAGGGAAAAAAGCTGTCCAAACCTGCCTGGCCCTATGTGAAAAAGTAATTGCCCCCTAAGGCTTCTTCCACACTGATCCGCTTTTGGTGTGTTCTTCAGTTAAAAAAAGTGGAAGAAAGCAGCATCCCTTTAAATCCTATGTAGCTCATCACACTGGTCCTTTGAGCTTCAGCTGAGGTTAAAAAAATCCTGCTTGCTGTACTTTTGGTGCAGGTTTGGTCTGGTAAAAAAAAATCTAAAACACATCCCTCCTTTGGAGTGAATTGAAACCACAACAAAAATGCATAAAAAATGCAATGCACCTGTGGGATGTTCTCAAACCCCTGTATACAGAATTGCATGACAAGGAAAATCACATTATATTTAATAGTGCCTTCTAATCAACTCAGCACAGCGCGATTTTGGAAAAGGTTCAGTGCTATTTCAGCTCCATAGACTTTTACATTATCTCACAGAAATCACATCAGCATAGATAAGAAACATTCCTATAGGACTTTAGCCACTTGCCAACCGCGCTATAGCCGCATGAAGGCTACAGCGCGGTTGTCCAGTTCTGGGAGGGGTTCATATGATGTCCTCCCACAACACGCCCTCCTGCGCACCCCCAGAGACGTGCACCCGGCGATCTCCGTGATCGCTGTGTCCAATGACACAGCAGATCACTGGGTAAATGCAGTTGCCGGATATCGGTTGCACTTTCCTCACGCTGTAACAGCGTGAGGAAAGTACTGCCGATAACTGGCAATTGTCAGCAGATCGGCACTGATCATCAGGGCACTGATGATTTGTGTCCAGCATTGCCACCCACCCGTGCCCAGCAGTGCCACCCACCAGTGCCCAGCAGTGCCACCCATCAGTACCCAGCAGTGCCACCAGTCAGTGCCTAGCAGTGCCGCCAGTCAGTGCCGCCTATCAGTGCTGCCTATCAGTGCCCATCATTGCTGCATATCAGTGCAGCATCATCAGTGCCACCTATCAGTGCTGCCTCTCAGTGCCCATCAGTGCTGCCTATCCGTGCCACCTCATCAATGCCACCTATCAGTGCCCATTACTGCTGCCTATCAGTACCCATCAGTGCTGCCTATCAGTGCAGCCTCATCAATGCAGATAAGTGTAGGAGAAAAATTTACCTGTTTGCAAAATTGTATAATAGAAACAAAGAAAAAAACTTTTTTTTTTTGCTTTTTTTGTTTATAGCACAAAAAATAAAACACCCAGTACCACCAAAAGAAAGCTCTATTTGTGTGAAAGAAATGCTAAAAATGTCATATGGGTACAATGTTGCATGACCACTCAATTGTCATTAAAAATGTGACCGTGCTGAAAGCTGAAAATTGGCCTGGGCAGGAATTGCCCGCTAGGCAAGTGATTAATGGATTCAGTTTTTTTTTTCAACCATCACCTCGCCACCCTGGTCATCCTTCATCCATGGATTTTGATACATCTGCAGATATAACAGCAATTGTGGAGCCTTTCTTTGATCGATTGATTGACCAACCATTCCTTCTGGGTTCAGATGCTGATCTTCCCTGCACAAGTGATTGTAAAAGAATTCCCTGCAGCCCCCACCCCCCTCCTATACTTACCTTACCTTAGCCCAATCTAGATCCAGCGAAGTGTATGAGAGCTGAGGTTCTCTCGGCTCTCTCACTCGTTGGCTCAGAGACAGCAAAGGGAGGCTGTGAGGCTGCCACTGACATACAGAGAATACCAATCAGCTCACTATAGGGCAGGGGCGGACTGACAACTCATGGGGCCCCCGGGCAATAGGGGATCATGGGGCCCCTGTGTCCTTGCCCAAACTCAAAAAAGCCTATGAAAAAGGTACCAGGGGCATCTCATGGGCCCCCTACTGACCATGGGCCCTCGGG